TGTGCTATTTAGTCTGCAGTTAAGGATAACTTCATTACAATTTATTGAAACAGTTACAAGAAGATTGTAATTCAAAAATCAATTATTCAACTGTAATTAAGCCCTTCACTCCCAAGAGTGTTGAGTCAAATGAAAACTGAGTAGAAATCTTTGAATCTCAACTTACAGAGTCAACAAAAACAAATGGTATTACATGAGAATTAAGTGCTGCTTGACAGCTTACATTTTTTTTTAGCACACAAGAGTTTTATTGTATTGCAAGCATATGGCTAGTCTTTGGCGCAAGTAAAGAGGAGACCTTTTTATTCCAAACTCATGGGATTTCCTAGGAATTTTCATGGTGCTTGCATATTCCCAACAACCCCATGACAACTAACTGGCAATTAACTTTCATGTGCCATGAAGATGCCATGGAGAGGCCATGAAAATTCAGGGAAATTTTTGACGGTCAATGAATTTTTTTACATATTCACAGGATATTCATGGGTCATGATTTCCTACAACCCATCAAAACGTAGTGAATTGTTTTTGACATGAAATTCATGGGTTTTTTAGTATCTTTGAAAAGGCCATGAAAGGCCATTTTCATGAGTATTTCATGGCTTCTACCTCACTTTACACAATGTTTCATGGGTCGTGAATATGACAAATTTTCACAGGTTTCTCATGGGATTTTTCATGTCTATTTCATGGCACTGAGACCATGAAAAAACCATTGTATTGAAAATTGTATTGTATTAAACCATTGTATTGTATTAAACCATTGATTTAACCATGAAAATCCTGTGAAAAATCTGTGAATTTGCCATGAATAAATTCACAAGATCTTCACGGGTTTTGATTTCATAGTGATACTGCTTAAATTTGGGGAACTCTCTGGTATGTAATAACAATAATAACAAAACTTGAAAGATTCTGGTACTTTAAATCATATGATTACATCATGTGCTTGCCTTTACATTGAACTCTGTTGTGTTTAAGTGATATCTCTGATTATTGTTCCTGAAATCTATTATGGTGACACTCTATCTCAATTGAACTTTCTGTTAAATAAAACCTCCAGGTCAATTGTAAATCTTGGTGGGTTAAAAATTATTGGCAATGTTAAAGTAATGTTACTACAGAGTACTACTCAGACAACATATGATTCACTAAAATATTGCTTGTGTTCTGATCTTGTTAGGAACCTATATTCTTTCCCTAAATTCTTCCATTCACAACCCCATATCCATCTACCTCAACTAAATTCTTCTGTGTTCTTTATTGAAAATACAGTCCCACAAAACCGAAATACAATAATTATGGTAAAGGGTTTGCTCTCAACCAACTGAGAATAGAACTTTGTGCTAAAACGGACTATAGAAACCTACCCTTAGCATTGTGTTACTTTACAAGTATGTTTTGTCCAAAATAAGTCATAAATTCAAACTAAATCAAGCTCCCAATAGTTACTAATGTAGATTACATCATTTCCCAACGGTGCATCCTTTGGGTGTTTATTGTCAAAATGA